ATTAAAGACTAGTGCTGTATTCCAAAAAAGGAAAAATTATGGTTGCAAAAGTGGTCACAAAGCTAATTGTAACCACTTTTTATATGCCATAAATACATCATCATAATTTACAGCACTAGTCTTTAACTTCAATCGAAATTAAAAAACAGTCATATGGGAAAATGGGCCAATTTACTTCTGATATGATGACCCTCTTGCAAGTTCCATTATTGACACAGTACATCCACATTCTTGGTTTAAAAACTGTTTTTCTATGGGAATATATGCAAGATGTTCTGGTTGTGCATATGATAAGATGCACTACTAGAGATGTTCCAATGCGCATGTCATGCAACAAAATTTCGAAGGTGTCTAGACGCGTTTCGCGCATGTAATTTTTTTTGTACATAGTAATAAATGTAATGCAAAAAAAATAAAAAATTTTTTTTTATTATGAAATATTATCCAAATGACTCAGTAAAATTTTGGTCACAATTACTACATTATAAACAACATACTAGCTTGTTTGACAATTCTTTAGCATGGTCAACTATAGGTGAAGCAGATTTGGTAACATAGTGGAAAGGGAATTTTTCATTAGTTGCCCCTGAACTGACTACTCTTGCTGTACAAATTCTTTAAATCCTATATCTTCAGCAGCACCCGAAAGAAATTGGTCTGCATTCTCATATATACATGATAAAAAAAGAAATAGACCAACATCTGGTATGGTTTTCAAATTAGTGTTTATTTATTTTAATTATAATTACAAAAATCCAAAAAATCAAAATAAATTAAAAGATAATGTCAATGGAAACACTACGATACTGGTAATGATAATGAGGAACAGGAAGATGACGTTAGTGAAGTGAAAATGATGATAGTGATGTATATACATCTGAATCAGTGACTAATATTAGTGATTAAAATCTGTTTTGTTTATTTTTAATAATAATAAAAAATTTTTTTAAAAAAATAAAAAAAATCGGCAGATGCAGTGTGCATCGTGCGCATGAAGTTTGAAATTTTCATGCAATTTCCTATCCCTATGCAAGATTGTTCTGGTTGTGTATACAATAAAATGCACTACACTAGCAAAATCGACCAAAACAATACGGACGAAATAAAAAATCACTTGTAAGTTGAAAACTTTTTCAGATAAAAAATACAAAAAAAAAATCTTTTGCTAACTTTGATTCCTCTTTTTTTTTAGTCATTATATACATAGGAATAAAGATCATACCAAAACTGATCCAACATATGTAGATAATAACCCAAATACCAGTGATGATTAAGGTTTCTGGTCCAAATTGTTTCTCAAAGCCCAAACTAGTTTGGGCAATTTGGGCTTCTCAACATTTTCTATAAGCATGAACATTAAAAAACTATATGAATCAACTTGTTTTAACTTAAACAACTTTAAAATAATTTCGCCCAATTTTGGCTAATAACAAAAAGTAGTTTGGGCTTATAAAAAAATAATTTTGCCCAAAGTATTTGGGCAATTTCGGCTACTAATAGAAGCAGTTTTGACCAAAAACCTTAGTCCTAATCACAGGTATTGCAATCTTTTGGATATTGGTATCTAGATTAAAGTTATTATTAGTTATTAGTCTTAACTTTACATATTACCAATTTTTGAAGGATACTAATTGTCCATGCCTTTTCTGATGTCTTGGTTAACTAGAATGTTAACCCCTAAAACTTGCTTGCAGTGCCTTGTTAAATTTCAAAAAAAAAATTTTATTTTTTTCCTTGAATTTTTATAACAAATTAAAGTTAAAAACATGACTCAATGAGATATTAATAGTCTTATTTATTTGAAATTGCATGGGGAAGCTGCCAATAAAGGTAATAATGTAACAGTAATAAATAATAGTTATCCCCCATGAAGTGAGGGATAATAATAAGAGAGTTATCACAATAATGTATGATTGTAGATTTTGATAGTTATCATTCTGGTCTTATTCATCTCAGGGATGATAACTATTAAATCCTGATAGGTGATGAATAAACCTGAATGATAACTTAATGATCTACTTCATTACACAATATGTGACTGGGTGATAATAATAATTATCATTAGTCCTTTATAATTTATAGTTGGACCAATCTATACCCAAGGTTCCAGTGACAGCTCATGAGTATTGTGAAAGGTATACACTGATTGGTCCATTATCCATCAAGACAGCATCTGCAGAAGTGGAAGCAGAAAATCCTCATATTAAAGGAGTTCTTGATAGAATGTCAAACAAAAGTGTAATATGGATATATGGTAGATGATTAATCAAAGATGCTCCTCATGTATTATTGTTTGATACTATATATATATTAATATAATTATTCTAATAATAATTTGTAAAAACTTATTGTTAAGATGGAGTTCTTCCAAGTGGTTGAAATTTTCAGCAATACATGAATTTCAAAATTTACATGCAAGAAATAAAGAAAAAATTCATGGATTTGTTAATGGTCATTTCTATGGGTCATTACAATTGACCCTGGATAATACCTTGTATTTTTTTTATTTCTGGTCATTATCACTACAAAAATTAAGATGTTGATATGTTTATTGAATCATTAGCAAGTTAGTATTAATTTGCCATGTTAACATCATAATGAATGTGATTATTATTGTAGATATAAATATATGCATATAATATGTATAAACATATTTCAATTATTTATTCATGCTTTTGAAGGATTAAATCAAAGGTTAAAAGCATGCAATTTACAATTTCAGTAATTGTATTATTATCATGCCAACTAAAATACAATCTTTTTGCTGTTTGAGCTTTGAAAGGCCAAGTAATCACAAAACAACTGTAAAAGACATTACTGATAAAATTGGTTTCAGAAGGCCGCAAGATATGTTGGGTATGTATACATTTATAAATATATTATTATTTATGCTTTAAATATTATATTTATATTCATATATATATGTATTCAACACACAAATATGTATACAGGGGGGAAATCAATAATGTGGTGGTTGACCCTTTTGAATTATTAACTGATGAAGACAAAGTGTTACTGAAATGTCATGTCATGGCACTAAAATCTAGCATAATTCCATCAATATTAGCTCATAATATTGTTTGATCCTGAATCGGATCCAATATTGACACAATTACATCAACTGGAACTATATAGTTAACAGTTCAGATGATCATGTAAAGGTTATATTTCATCCTGAATTTCTAACTTCAAACAATCTTCTAATTGGCTTAGATTATGAGGATTTTGTATGGGTTGTCATCTAGGCGTGTTCCCATGTTATTATGAGCCATGGGGTTACACTTCTGCTGAATGCATAGTAATGGGTGTCCCATCCATCACAACCAAATTATTAGGTTTTGAATGAAATACATTAGATTATGGTATTTATGAAATCCACTAATGAATCAATTCAACAATGAGTTGATTACATGTTTACAATTTTGTCAGAAAACAAGACATCAACATATAAATCAATTTAATAAAAAGAATGATTGTCAGATTGTTAAATTGGAAATTGGTTGATATGGAATATATCAGGGCGAGAAAATTGGCATTGCATAGAGCATAACCAGATTTGTTTATTAGTAATAATGATAATATTGAAGGAAGAGCAGGAAGAGATTTTGATCTGCTCAATAATAATCATAGCAATAATAATAAATTTAGAATATTAAAATTTCATTTTGCTCCAATATCATCCAGAATCACTAATCCTTCAAATATTGGTGATAGTAACAGTATGAATGAAAATAATATACATTGTTTAAATATCAGAACTTCTGGTTCAACCATAGATGAAGAAATTGGCATCAGTGCTGGTGGCGCATATCCATTTCCATTGATTGCTAGTAGTGATAATATTAATGATGATAATGATAATGATTCTACACAACCATAGTTGATGATAAGTTCATTTTAAGCAGATTTGGGATAATTTCAGGGTAAATTCAAGATAAAAGAACAAGGATAATATTCCAATTTTTATTAATTTATGAAATTATTTTAATTAATGTGAATTATTTGTTTGATTAATTAAGTAAATAAAAAGGACAATTTTATTAAAATCTGTAAAGTTGTCAAATAACTTTGGGAAAAAATAATCAGAAAATCTATTTTTTTAATTGATTATTCGTGCATATATATTTATTATTTATTTATCTTTTGGTTTATCAAATTATTTATTATCGAACCCGTTCCGTTCCGGGAATAACAAATAATAATAATTGGAGCGTTTTAATGTCTTTCTAAATAATATGTACTTATATAAATAAATCAACAAATTATAAATAAATCCGTCCCGTTCCGATAATTATCGTTTAAAGAAAGAAGTAGGAAAATATTTAAATGATTTGACGAATTTTAGAATAAATTTTACAAACAAATAATCAATAAAGGAAAAATGAAAATTTTCTAATTTCAAATATTTTTTTCGAACTTTTTTAATCATTTTCACGAAACACGCTCATTCACTTTCAACCGTCTTCTTCCGGCACACTCTTCTATATATATATTAAACGTGTATGCAAGCCATCAGATACAGAAACCAATTGCTTGTTTATAAACGTCTCGCCGTTTTCTTCCGATACGTAGTTCTCACATTTATGCATGCATATTTAAATGTATATATAAATTAAAAATTTTTTTTGTTAAAATTTTAATCAATTAAATTTTGTGTTTTATTTTTAAAAAATTTTAAAAGCTCAAGTTTTTGATTTTTTGATATAAATAAATATAAATACTAGATAATCCAATAAATAGCATCAATGAACTCATTACCTCGACTTGTATATAAACCTCAATTTTCGCCTCTTCTTATTTCTAGAAAATTTTCTAAATTTCAAAATCTTCAAACAAAAAAATTCTTTTCATCCATCAATTGTAATAATATTAATAACAATACAATTAATAATAATAATAATAATTTTAAGAAACTCTCTAAAATTTCTTCTTGTAAAAACAAAAATTATTTTTACTTCAAGTATCATTCTACTGCTTCATCATTATTTATCAATTCACAAATGAAGAGTTCAAATCACACAAAAGTAGAAGAAGAGCTTCATGAAAACGCACACATCGATTACGATCGTGTTGCTATTAAATGGAATCCTTCAGTCGCCCAATTATACGAAGATGCTTTAAAATATGAAGAAGGTTCTGCCATTTCTTCCGCCGGTGCCTTAGTTACTGCCTCCGGTAATAAGAAAGGTCGCTCTCCAAAAGATAAACGTATTGTTGACGAGCCTAGTTCAACCAATGATATTTGGGTAAGTGTTTGTTTATATTTGTTTTAATTGACCAATCCAATTTTCAAAATAAAATTTGACCAATTAAATTACACTAAAATTCATATATATATCATTCACCTACTTTTTTTAAAATATAGTGGGGTCCCGTAAATACTAAATTACCTGAACATGTATTCCTCATCAATCGTGAACGCGCAGTTGATTACTTAAACACTCGTAAAAGAATTTATGTTTTTGATGGTTTTGCTGGATGGGATCCAAAATACAGAATTAAAGTTCGTGTAGTATGTGCTCGTGCTTATCATGCTTTGTTCATGAGAAATATGTTGATTCGTCCAACTCCTCAAGAACAAGAAAATTATGGATCACCTGATTTTACCATTTATAATGCTGGTGCTTTCCCTGCCAATCGTTATACCACCGGAATGACTTCCACAACCTCTGTTGCTATCAATTTCAAATTAAACGAAATGGTAATCTTGGGAACTGAATATGCTGGAGAAATGAAAAAAGGAGTGTAAGTATTATTTGTTATCGTTGTTTGGTAAAGAAAGAGAGTGCGTGTAAAAAAAACATCTATTTTTAGAATTATATTATTTACCCATTTACATTTATATATTATATAGTTTCACAGTTATGCATTATTTGATGCCGGTAAAACATAATGTATTGTCATTACATTCATCTGCCAATGAAGGTTCAGATGGTGATGTATC